TCATGTCAATCACCAAGTAATTGTAAATACTAAGATCTGAATGAAGTACAAAGATTTCAAAAATTTAGTTATCTTTGACTGACCAATTGGCTGACAACATCAAAGTTTAAGAATTGTTTAGATAAAATTTGTGTAGAAAACAATTAGATCGCCAAGTTTGTCTCGATATATAATTACTGATAACTGGTAAATGAATATCATAAGGAAACAATTTCAGCTTTGTTAACTACTACATCAGTAAATGTGATAAGTTTAATTTCAGTTAAACAAATAAAAGAAAGTAAAATGAAAATCAGGATAATCCAAAATACAAAGCTGCTAATTTTATTTGTTTATTATCCAGTTGATTATAAATTATTAATAATTTACTTAATTAAAAACAAGTCAATCCCACTTAAAACTTTGGACTGGCGACTAAAAGGAACCGATATCTTGGCAACTATATATATATTAGTATATATGTATATCTCCAGTAAACAAGTGGGCAAAAATACGTCAGGAAAAATGAAAAGAAAAAAGTTGAATTGCTTTGATCATTAATACCGCAAACTTTAAGGTTTGTATACCATCAGAAGTGTTGGTAAGAAAAATTAACAATAGTAACTATTAGCAACAAGATTAATTGAGTCAATATATTTCACAGAATCTTTGCTAGTAAGAAATCTTGACACTTTTGGAAGTTGACGTATATTTTTTTTTTGAATACATTAAATTTAAACATTATTCTGTTGTACTGATCAAATTATTTTAACTTACTTGAAAGTATATACATATATTGAAGATTTAATCTATTTTTGTTTTTCTAAAGTGGAAGAAAAAATTGTCCTTAGCTTTGTCAGTAAAATGATAAGAACAAAGTCAGTAGAGCATAACTATAAACTTTGAATTATTACGTTATTAAGGTTATAGTAGACAATAATGGAATATGACAGAATTTACACACTTTCTTAAGCTTAGAAATGTACACAGTTAGTTATTAAGATCCTGCTTGAATAATATTCTGTACATGAATGTAAACATTACAAAAAAGAGTAAAGAAAATAAGCATTTTATATCTCATATTCATGATGTGAATTCAAAAAATCATGAAGCGTAGATTTTAAAAAAAATTATTCATACGAAAATAGTAGTTATAGTTTTCTATTATCAACGCACTATGATGAAAAAATTTTACCATTTGACTATCTGAGATAGCTGTGATTTGGTAAACACAATTTGGAATACCATAAATTAGGGTAATTCCATTTTAGTTTATTTATTAGAAATGTCATATAGTGGAATAATATGATCCACTGGATAACGTTTTGGACATAATTTATTATCTTTATTCACATCATATCACAAGATGAAATTACAATCTATCATAGCGCCTATGTTTTACTTATGTATTATTTAATAACTGTACCAAACCTCCACATTAAGAAAAATTCCCAATTTAAAAAAATCTCAATGACCTGTTTATTTACATGAATTATTTCCAGTCACCTGTCAACCATTATTTTGTCGTAATCAAGCTTAGAAGTGTACATTATTAAGCTAGTTGGGTCGTAGATAACACATATGAAGCTGTCACCTAGCTTTCAGCTTGATGGATTTAGACTGCCCATAAATAATCCTTCTAAAATTATATACTGAACACGATATCTCAAAAGTAAAATGCATATAAATTGGCTACTCATTATTATTATTTATCCCTTGGGTTCCTAGTGGAACATAGGGCTTGAATAGCACGTCTCTCTGAAATCTTTTGAACCTGGCTCCACGACTGCCCACAAGCTCTCATTTCTTCCTCATACCATCTCCTCCATGTCACCCTCAGATAGGACGCCCAACTCGTCGCTTCCCATAGGGGTTCCACTCGAGGGCCTGGCCTGACGCGTTATGTCCCCAGTAGGTCTTCTCAGTGTATGCCCAATCCAATCCAATCGATTCCATCTCCACTTCCTTCGGCATATTTGTTGAGTGACAGGCTCTTGCTTGGTTAGTTGCCAGAGTTCCTTGTTGCTTATTCTTCTTGTTCTGGCCATCTGATCTTCAGTAACGAGCCAGCGTAGACAGCAGTTGTTGATGAATGTCTGTGGTTTGTTGGAAATCCCTTTCGTAACGCGCCGTCAAGTCTCTCAACCATCACATAGAAGCACTGACTGACTGAATTGGTGTTGAAAATCCGGATGTTATTCACGCTTTATGCTGAGTGCAGTAGATCTTCACACTGGTTTCAGGTTAATGAACGCCTGTCTAGCTTTTCTAATTCTGACTTTGACATCCTCGTCTGTGCCACCTGTAATTGAGACAGTGCTGCCTAGAAAGGTGAAAGAGGTTACTCGTTGTTCGACAGACTAGTATCGATAACGGGTGGTTATTGAAGGTGAAATGAAGATTTGGACCGTGGAAGCATTTGAACCAGCAACGATTAGGTTTCAGGCCCGGTACTCCACCAACTAACCAATGAGACCCAAATGATCAGGAAAAGACATAGGGTTCATGCAAAAACTTCATACCTTTGAAAATGCAGAAGAAAATTGCAAAATGTAGCAAACGTTTTGACGGCATATAAGACCCCAAGTATACTGTTAAATTGCTAATCTTAAAGTGGAATCTAATTTCATCTATAAATCGATTATGTAATCCATAATAACACTCTTATACCGGTTAAAATTGAATAAGTTATCAGTGAATTACAATTTTATCAACAACTATTTTGAGGTACAACACCATACACTAACTAATATTGGTATTCTACTATCTCACAACTTTGCAACACTTAGTGGGAAAGGCATTAGGCTTTATGTAACTGTGTATATAAGACCTCAAAGGAACTTAATGTAACCAGAAAGAAGGACTCGGATATGAAATGAATACGAGGTAATCAAATCGTACACTAAAGTTGAGTCAAACAGTTGTTTTAAATACCTCTAATAACAGCAGTTTATTTGGTTTTTATCCACTACATAAGAGATACAGGTATTGCGAATAAAAAACAAAACTCAAAGCTGGTTAACACTACCTTATCATGTTACTGTTTCGGTTGGTAAGAGAAATATGAAATTAGAATCATGACTGAATCATGAACTAACATGAAGAAGTACATTGCAGACGTACTCACTAAAAGTAACCCAACATGAAAGTTGTATACATAGACACCGCACATGAAATACATGTATACAGCCTGCTCTTTTCGTTGTTCAACACCAATAGTTGGGTTAGGCAGAGCTATATAATTTCATCATTCCCCTTCATTTTGTCATGAATGACATTGCCAAGAAAGCCCGGAGGACTGTGAGTGATGCAGACCTGTTACTAAGTGGAAGGTTTCTCGACCTCGAGTATTCGGACGATATCATTTCACTCAAATAAAACTCAATTAGCTATCACTATCAGTAAGTATGGTATAACGTAGCGTCAACAAAGTGCTTCTGCAAGTTTGGCTTAGCAGGAGCCTGTATCCACACCCACTCTTGGTGGTGAACCTTTGAAGGTTGTGACGACGCCTGTATGAGTGGTGTGACCGATGAGATTTCCAATCAAGCCACCTTCGGGACTAAAACAATGTTAATCTTGGTGTTCAAGATCGGGTACACAACGTGTCGGTGCAGCAGCTTTACTGTACACTTTGCCTTTCCGAACTGATGATGTGTAGCGACCCAGTACTTCCGATCACTGTTTCCTCTCCAAGAATGCTCGAACCTGGTGGAAACATCATACGATTCGGAGGCAAGTTGACATCTGTTTGGATGAGATGGTCATTCATTGAGGTAATCTTGAAGCACTGACTTCGGTGACTTAAACATGTTACGAATGTCGCCCAAATAGGCTACCACACCACCCATACTTCACTGCTCGAGAAAGGCGGATGTGCTCAGTGTATGATATGGTCCCGTAAGATGAATAACATTTGTGTTGGGTTATTATCTGCAAGATCTAAGAGATCAGGCAACTCACTTATTTGAGACGACGGCAGACATGACTTGGAATCGAAATCAACGACGATCATACTCCCTTTTTATTCTTTTATTATCAAGAAGTAAAATGAAAGTGTTTATTTGTATGTGAATTTGAGATTGCTTCTTTATTAAGCCACACCACATACGTTTTTGTTCCCATTCTTTGCATCTCAGTATTGCTATATATTTTTGTATGGCGCACCTCTTGGTACCCATATTTTATGAAGCTTTTGTTCGAAACAAAGTAATAATTCCAGTAAGTCCAAATCAAAATAGAATGAATTCTCAACTTCAAGACCCTCAATAATCTAGTAAAATCTTATAAACCATTCTTTTGCTTCCGTTACTCTTTTTTTCTAAAACTTCTATTCAGCACCTAAACTACTATATTGCTCTTTGTGACTAGCAGAGGAATCCAGAATGGGCGTTTCGTTCTATTCGGGACTAGTTAGTTGGATGTACCTGTACACCAGTGAGTGATGTTTTTCCCACTGAGGCCCACATAGGAGCAACCCATGTGACAACATAGGTCTAGCACTTCGGCTCTGTATAGCAACGGGAATTGCAAGTATCATTATAGGTCCCAAATAGGACGAAATGCGCATCCTGGACTCCACTGCTAGCCGCTATCCATCATTACTACATCATTACAATGGCCTAAAATACCAAATGATATAGTTGTTGAGAAGGCGTTTTGCAACGTTACTTATTGCTTACACATACTGAACGAGGGTGTTAGTTAACGTAGTAACCTCCAGTTAAAAGAATATAGATATTCACTGTTACAGACATATGTCTATAAAGCGTTTTTTTCTGGATAAATGCAGTTGTCGCCAAGGGATAATTTGTTTGATGGTCCAATCAATCCTCAATACTAAAAATTAAATACTGGTTATCAAAATACTGATTACGTAAATACATCTTTATGATATAAAAATATGCAAATTATTCAGGGGAAAAGATAAGTCAAAAGGATTCCGGAAAATACATGTGTATAAATCAATAATTAAAAATAAGGAATATTAAAGCTAATGATGGATAATACAATAAAATGGTTCAATGATCAGTTGTTTGTGAGACATTTTCAACACTTAATTCAAATGATTCATACTTTTGCAGTTCAGCATTGAATTCATCTAACCATGATTCATATGCCTTCTAGATTTGGTATGGAAAAAAAGAAAGAAAACAGATACAGTAAGAAATAAAACCAAATGAAAAGCCAAAACAGTAAATTGAGCATATAAGATCATTACCATTCTTATTCAACTCTCGTTTAATCTTCATAAAAATAAATAAAGACAAAGTATTAGTTGTTTACAAACTGTGAGGAACCAGAAGATGGGCATACGCAGTTAAACAGATGAAATAACCCTAGGAGATTTGGATTTTGCTCACGATGATGATTCATGTCTTATGTTCCACAAGCTCCAAGATCTACAGGTGAAAACTAACAAGTTGGCAGGACAGGCAGCGAAAACGGGAATTCAAATGAATGTGGAGAAGATAGAGGTGATGAAGATACTTAACCAACAACAACAACAACAAACAGCGGTCACCACCAACGGGAAAAACTTAAAGTAAGTAGTCTCTTTCATCTACCTACCTGTCTAGGCAAGGCAGTATTGTTTCAACTATAGGTGGCACAGATAAGAATATCAAAGCAGCCAGGATCGGAAAGACAGCACGACAGGCCTTCCTTCATTAATCTGGAAAAAGTGTGGAGATTTACTCCACTTAACTCAGCATAAAGTGTGAACAAGATACGAATTTTCAACACTAATTCAGTCAAGTCGAGTCAGTGCTTCTATGTAATGATTCAGAGATTTAACGGCGCGTTACGAAAAGCATTTCCAACAAACTGCAGACATTCATCAACAGCTGCCACCCACGCTCACTCGATACTGAAGATCAGATGGCCAGAATAAGAAGAATAAGCAACAAGGAACTCTGGGAACGAACCAAACAACAACCCATCGCACAAAAAATGTGCAAAAGAAGGTGGAGATGGATTGGGCATACACTGAGAAGACGGTTTGGGGACATCACGTGCCAGACCATGCCCTCGAGTGGAATCCAAAGGGAAAACGACGAGTTGCTCGTCGGAAGGTGACATGGAGATTATGTGAGGAAGAAATGAAAGCTTCTGGGCAGTGGGTGGAGCCAGATTGAAAAAACTGCAGAGGAGAGAGTGAGATGGTGACGTGCTACTGAAGCTGTATGTTCCACTAGGAAACCAAAGGACGAGTAATAATAATTTAAAAAATCAGTTATTTATCTATAACTACTTCCGGTAGGTGTTTTTAGTTCTACCTTGTACAAATTACTAACATCATCATTTGTATGAAACCATATGCAATCGAGAAACAGATGTTTCAAGTTATTCTACAAGCAGGACTATAAATACGCTTAACCCATAAGATCCACTGAGCAAACTAAAAACCTGGCACAATTGTAAAACCGATCGAATTGGTAGTTATGAAGGTTCATGCAGCAAGCACTGAGCAACACTTATTGTGTGAGAGCTGGTTAAGCGAATCTCGTTAAGCGCAGAGGCATTCGAACTCTTGACCTACTGTTTGAAAAAACAACAACTGTCTAAAACAGTGAGGCTAAAAAGGTTTTTCGACTGTTTGCAAATTCCGATAACACATGAGGCGATAACTTATGTGGAGACTTCCAGACTGCTTAATTATTTGATGAATTCACGTTTGTTGATTGTCTGTTGTTATAAAAAGTGAGTATATTTTTTATGCTTGCTCAGTTATTTGCATACTTTTTCCTCTTCGGTTTTTTCTTCCAGATTACACAAACTCTTCTAAGTACCACCCTGCAAAACCGTACTTCCAGGTAATGCGGAAACTAACCAGCACAGCTGGTCACTACATCAACCTTTACATAACACATATAGCTCATTACATGATAAACAAAAAGCTGCACGTAGTTGTATCAAGTTATATCATTAAGAAGAAGCATTTTTCTCTGGTTAGAAAGATTATGTAAAATGTACGTCAATAGAGATGTATCCATAAGTTTTATTTTTGCAAACATCTTCTGGAATAACAAAACACAGAAAAAACTGTTTCATATTACATTAGTCTATAACAAACAATAACACAACACTACTTGTCAGATGAAGTTCCCAGCACAACTCATAGCTCATAATTATGCTATATGATGTAATTACGGACGGTAAATTGTAATCACTAAAGTATCCGGTAAGCATTACTGTACCATAGTGTACTATGAGAAAAAAATTGAAATTATACTGTACACATTACTCATATTTCACTCTCATACACCACAGATGATTGTGTATCCGATGTTTTCGCATTATTATAGGAAATAACAGTAGATGACATTATCAATATAACCTCTAAAATGTATGATTTTCTTCCTTTCAACAAAAACAGAATTCAGATTTATACAAATCAACAAATGTGATCATTTAGTTACCACCACGATATATCCTAGATAGTATCTTTAGAGCCTGTCTGTCTGAATATACTGATGATGGGATACAACATATCACATACGCTGATGATACTTTCTTCTGTTCCCCATAAAATAAACCATGCATTAAATTTTTTGAAGACAACTACAGCTAATTTCATCCTCAAGTGAATACTATGGTGAAATCGACCAACTTATATATACTTGTGGGAGTGAAAGGACGCTGATTTCCTGAACACATTCCAAGATATTTATTGGAATGTCCCCAGTACTTGACGGCAAAGAAACAAGAAAGTAAAGAGATACTTCTCATTTCTTTGGTATACGAAACAAACAACAATCTACACCGGGTGGCGATTGAAGGTGAAATACAAATTTGAACCGAAGTCGAATTCGAGCCATCGACCACCAGGTTTCCCGCCCGATGCACTATCAATTGAGCTACGAGGTTCGACTGCTGCCCAGATTTTTATTTCACTTCAATCAAATAACAATAGTTAAGTTTACTACACCTTGGGTGTATTACACCGCCTATTACCTTCCTGATGTTAAAAGAATTTACAAGTTTCTTATTCGTATGTACAGCTGTTCAATGATTTTTTTTTAAGTAATCTGATTTTCCCACTACTACTTTATACTTAACCTTAGTTGACTTGGCAGTTAGTGTGCTGTTGTCATTTCTGGCTTTAGAAGTTTAAACAGCTTTTATTTCATGATATGCGAATTCTATAAATATTAGAAATTATATTCCTGGTTTTTTGTCAAATTTTGTCTCGCTTCCTGTGGCTACTTTAGTGATGAAAAAATGAAGTTGAAAAATCCGTCAACAGTTGCCTCATCTACTAAGATTGGCATCACTTATATGCTACGGAATAATATCTTCCAAGTTGTCAACAGATTAAGGGTAATGAAGTTCAATCTTTTATCTACTTGGATGAAAAGATGAAACAAAATCGAAGCTTGCACTGCTCGTATATAGTGGAAGAATTATTGCAATTATGCAAAAGTCAAGGGAAATAAAGTAGTTGATGAGATCATTAAGGCAGACGGTACATTACTTTTGTCTAACTATGGTTCAACCCATTTCGTTAAGCTATACGAAGTAGGATTAGGTTGGAAGTATCTCAAGAAACACATGAAATAACTCCATAAGGTTTTAGACTATTGGTTTGGGCTATCCAGGTTTCCTGGCTTGAATTGATACGGTAAGTGAAAGCGACAGATTGGGACTCTATGGTACATGACTTCAAATTGAATACACTAGCGGAAATGCGTTCATACTTAATTTCCCATCTTGATTTTAATATCATATAGCTTTATTTTATTCTTCTGTTCCCATTTGTCTCATGGCTTTTATAAGTCCTAATAACTTTTAAATTTTTTCGACTTTACTCTTGTCAATTTTTATTTTAGTATGCCTATGACAAGACAATAAAATGGAAGATGAAGGAAAAATCGATTAAAAGGAGTAGAAAGCAGTTAAAGAGAAGAAGAATGAATGAAAAGATGATGAAATTAAGCATAGCGGTTAAGATGGGAATAATGTGTGAATACATCTGCACCACTGACATCCGTTCCAAACCATATCACATAGTCTCCAGCCACTGATTTCCCCAACCGGCTAGTCCGCATCGCCCTATATGGCTAAAACGAACAGTCAAGGACTTCACGCACAGATGTTATGTTTTAGTCTGATCTCCCTGAGCCTTTTTCCAGCCTGAACCTACTACGGCCAACATTATGTGTCGAGGCAGACGGTGGTTAGGCATATGTAACACATGTCACAGCCACCTCAGTTGATGAAGGTTCACAACAGCATCAACTGACTTACCTCTCCTGCCTAAAATTCTACGTCTGACTTCTGCGCTACTCACGCAGTGACATCACAAAACACAGCCTATGCTGAAAAGGCAGCGGTGGTCAAACACCTGAAGCCTTCTCTGGCCTTTTGGCTTTAATGTCCATGTTTCATAGCATTACAGTAGAACAGAACAGATTGCAGCACAATCGCATATCGTGGAGACACTACAGATGGCGTAAGTTGGTAAAAGCCAACCGAACCTTTTGTATCTGTGAAGAGAGTTTGTCAGTCACTGACCAATGCGCCAGAGCTGATCCGACTTTCCGGGTAAGCGAAGTGTTCAACATGCTTAAGCACTTCACTCTCTATTGTTAATCCGGGTACCGTCGAAGACCAGTCCTGGAGCAACAATTTGCACTTGAGTGTTGAGAAACGCCTCCCAAACATTCTCAAATTGCAACTCAATGTGTCTGGAAGACTCTGCATTTTGTCAGCTGCGTATTTTAGGTCTACTGAAAATTCTTCTGTGATTAGATTAATCTTTGCGTAGTTGGATGTCGAGAGGAAAACCTGCATAAGAACATCTATTATAAAATTGAACAGGAATGGAGAGCGGGCACCCTTGACGGACACCGCTTAACGTGCACAACTCACCTGATATTTCAAAGAAAATAAATAAAGGATGGTTGCAATACTACACAGAACCAATCAACAAAGCTTGTCACCTCATCTGAGCCGTGTGGGGAAGCACAGTCTATTTGGCTGAAATCTACGAGGTAGAGGAAATTGATATTTAGGCGATATGACGTGCATTAGTGCACTGTAACACATAAATCCATATTTCAAATTCATCTAAAGCTTGATAGCTTTACCATTTTATATCTTCTATTTCCCCTTCTGTTCATGTTTTCCCTATATCGGTTTCGCTGACTTACTGAGCAGTATTATATTTCTATAGAATTTTACCTTTCAATAATGGAAGACGTAACAACCTGAAATAATACGCAACTATGTTGCATATGTTTGAATAATAGTAAAAAAAACATAGCCTAAAATATCTACAAACCTGTCTTTCACTTTCCGACTCCTTTTTACGTCTGCGACCACTGCTTGAGGTTGATTCCTTGCTTGCATCTGGAAAGTGAAAATATGTGAAGGATATATAATGAACTACGGACGGTAATGTAAGACCATCAACATTTTCAAAGCTCCAAAACACCTATAAAAAAGGATGGAAGATTTGCACTAAATAAAAACAACCCATTCATCTACATCTACTGGAACACTGTGCTAATATTGAGGTAATATGTGTAGTTGGTTAACATACTTGAAATGTATGAGTTTAAAATAACCACTGAGCTACATACTAAAATATAGTTGTAAGTAAAATTTAGGCTAACTCATCCCTCTATGTCACAAATGAGGATATTCAAGAACATACAACATATAAAACAATAACTGTGAAAGCCAAAGTCTAACCTTTAGAAGAGGTGTCATCTTTATCCACGTCACTCGCGACTGTATTAGATGTGCATATCGGGTCAATTTGTAATGGATGGTCAGCAATACATTCAATGCTATTATCACGTATTTCATTACTTCTTTTATTCAGAGGGTAATTTATCGGAGTTGGAATAACCCCATGTGGTCCTACAGAAATTTGCAATCCAGTAGTTGGATTAGAAGTTGATGGGGTTGAGGAATTTTGTGGATTTAAATTACACAATGCTCCTTTTGAAATAACTGGGATAGATCCATCCGAAACATGTGTAGAAACATGTTTCTGATATTCCGGAGTGAAGGGAACATTAGTAGCTTGGTGCGGAAGATTGGAAGTGTGCTCTTGAACAGCACTTAAACATACTTTCCGATCTTCCACGAAAGTAGAAATCTTCCCGCAGACTGAACTGGAACCTGTGGCGGTTTTCAGGTTATCTCGCTGGTTTGGATTAGAAGTCGATGAAACCTGTAGGCCTCTTGTATCTGAGGGGGTTTTCAAAACTAACGAAACGCCTTTCATCACTGGCTCAGATGTGGGCACACTCTGGTCCGCTTCATGCTTGACTAGACAAGTAGATTCTTTAGAAGGGATATATTGCGCTGTGAATGGTGCTGAAGATGATAATTGCCTTGACCTTGTTTTTGCAGAGGGCTTCAGCTTTCTGCCATACTTTCTAGTTACAGTTTTGAAATCATTTGGATCAATATTCTCTTTATCATCGTCGCTATCATCTACAAAAAGGTAAGGGTCTTCAAGAAATGCATTTATGTTCAGGTTTCTTTTTCCCTTTTTAGGATTTTTGTTGATACATAGGTACGAACTGGAGGACAGCTTTTGGAAAATGCAGTACGGCTTTGCAGGATATCATCATTCTTATGTCTGGAATTATCAGCTTTAGCAGTTGGTTTTGGTTTGACATGGACATTTTCCTTTGGACATTCGATGGGCTAAAAAAACCAGAAAAATTACCATACAATGAGTTTTGACAAAAACATTTGTATAGAGAATTAAACCACAAATTACTTGCAGCTCAACGATATAAAAAAATACATAAGTGAATCACAAGAAAACTTGATTATTTAGACAGCAAAACCGACATACTTGATTCTATGTCAAGTAAAGATGAGTTCATTTCTTAAGGAAATGAACGAAAGGAAAAGTACTCAGCAATCACATGTACCTTTGTGCTATAGACAGTGAACCACACCTTTTAGGTGGAGACTGATATTACCTGGGTGCTCAAACTTCGGTTGGTAGAGTGTGGTTTGGTTCCGTAACTCACTGGTTGAGTCAACTGCCTAATCAAATAAGCCACTGCTTCACATTTAAAAAAAGTAATGAATGATATATGCAGAAAGAAACAACATAGGACAGGGCAAATCACCAAGGCCTTGAACAAGGTATTACTGTCCAATGGTCCAAGTAGTTCTACCTCATGTCAGCACATCAAGCATACAGACAAAATCAACGTAGAACCTCGCACACAAGTGCATCGGCTCAAGTTATCACACTTTGCAGCAGCATGCAAAGAACAAGTGGGTAGAAAAAGACTGATATCAAAGTAGACAAATGTGCATAGAAGAAATAATTTGAAGATAAAAGTTAATTCAAGCGTCGGAAGGCGTCAAATACATCCGTACCATCGTGAACAGTTTTAACCCATTTCATCCAGTCTCCAACCATTGGTTCCTATATTCTCGAAAACCAGATAGTCCACACCTCAACACACGGCCCAGACTAACAGTCAGAGACTTCATACCCTAGTGACGTGTTGATTTGGTCACCCTGAACTTTCCCTTAAAACTCTTCTAGCAATCTAAGTCGGAGCAGACGAACGCTCAGGATGTACAACATATGTCTAAACCACTTAGGTAACTGAAGATTAGCAATCTCATTCAAGGACTTGCCTACTTTGCCTAGTATCTCTGGCCTAACCCAGACATTGCACACTAAGTGAATCAGCCGTATGCGAGCAATGCTACGAAGAAACCTGAGATCAAAACCCTGTAACCGCTTCCTCTACTCTAAACGGTCATCTCATAGCTGTATAACAGGACAGCACACAAAGAAGCTGAGTACACTTATTCTCAGACTGCCACGACGCCTCACGATTGACAGATTCAAATGCCGCCCATAAGTCAAGAAATATGACTTGTCGGTCACCGGTAAGAAGTCCTGTGTTACGAAACTTGATCGACGCACCTCATACATGTCTGGAATCTGTCTGCTTTTCTCAAGTTTGTTGTTATTGGGCCCCATCTAGGCGTCGGATAACTATGCACCTAAGGATCTTTTATGGTTGTCACTTCTTGCAGGCTGGAATGATCGATGGAGTAGAACAGTCTGACGGGACTACTTATGATTCCCAAACAATACCTAGTAACTCCATTATTCTAATCAGAAATTTATTAACTCCATTCTTAAACACTTCGGGTGTCAAATAGCCAGGTCCTCATGCTTCTTATCTTTTCAGGCTCAAAACAACCTTTTCAACTTCGAGGAGAGTTGGAGGTCAATATGCACTTCTCATTCAAGTTCAGGTTGGATGTTGGGCAAGTGAAGCGTTGTTCTGGGTCAATTGAACTGTGCTCCCAAGTGTTCCGAAAAGATCAAAATTCACCGAACTACCCTAAGCACATTTGAGTGGTAGGCAATAGGCCACACCTGGTGTTTAAGGCCTGATGATATTATCTGGTTGTTCAAACATCATCAGGTGCAGCAATGTTCGAATCTGGTTGCAAGTCAACACCTTAAAGCAATGAACCGTAACTCCACTAGTGTTCCACTCAACTTTCCAGTTGTGTGTTCTGAGGTTATCACGGTACCATCCGTTTCAGTGATCGCTTAATTCATCACCGTCTTTTTCTTGCCAGTATCATGATGCCTTCTCCATCTCGCTCGCTTTCACCAACCCCACTGCCGTCTTTGTGAAGACTCCTGGTTAGTATTAAACCAAGAAAGCACCAAGACGAAGGATAAAGAAACAAAAAAAGAGCAGTCAGAAGTGATGGGAAGCGGTAAACAGAGGGGAAGAATGAATAAGAAAATGGTGGATTGAGTGTGACGATCAAGAAGAGAATGTGTGGATACATCTGCGTCAAACATCGATTCTAAGTCATGCCAACTAGTCTCCAAATACTGTTTTCTTGTCACCTGAACGTCGACCGGGGAGTTTATATTTCCCCAAAGCAATAATTAGACTTCATATCCTTAACGCCATGTTTCAGTCTCGTCAACATTTTCCAAAGTTGCGCGGTGAGGCAAACGGTGACAAAGCAAGTGTAACACGTATTCGAGCCGCCTGAGTTGATGAAAGTTCATTACCATACCAACTGACTTTCTTCCTTTTAAAAGTGTGTCAGACTTTAACGTTACTGACGGTGACACTACGACACGGCCTACGCTGCAAAGGCAACGCCGTTCAGACACTTGAAGCCTTCTCTTCAACCTTTAATGGACATGTTTTACAGCGACAGAGTAGAACAATGTGAATAGCAGTACAAGTACCCTCGACGCTTAATAGGCAATCAGATGCCATAGCGTTTTAAGTTGTAAGCTACTAACAGTAGTAAAATGCTAGATGGAGGCGACCGTAAGTTTGACCGTGTCAAGCTAAGGTGTGGACACAATAATGTGAACTACCACAGTTTAAGCACGTCAAAAAAGCATTGCAAACCTCAACGGGCTTACTCGAACAATATCTAACAGCAATATTATTTGATATACGAGGCGACCAATCTAGTACTTCTTCCTGCGCTAGAAATTAACGCTATCCAGACCACTGATTTTCATAAAAAAGGGAGATGTAAGTGCTGTTGGTTTGTTGGTATATAATTCCCTAGATACCTCCAAAATTTTCTTCGATTGTCCTCGCCTTATCACTGGAGCATCAAAGTGGGTCATCACTATGATTATAAACAACGATTGGAGTACTTTCCGGTGTCGTTTGTATACTGTGCTTTCGTCCTTTCCATGAGCTATCTCAGTTATTATTCTTGCTGTGTAGTATCCCAATTAAAAGAGGCTTAAATCTAATTTTAAGACCTCAAATTAGTACTGAAACCCAAGTCCACATGCATTCACACTTGAAAAAAATAGCCCACCACCATGACCGAAATTTTGACGAGTGAAAAAACTGTCACTTTCATAGCCGAGCATTTTTAACGCTTCCAGACAATAAGAGCATGAGTGTGAACTTGAAACTTCATTTACCTTCGCGAAACAGTTACCGACATCATACTTAGTGCAACCAGCATTAAAATCGCCATCAAAATTCAACTGGGAAATGACCCACTTACCCTATGATGACAATTACTTTTCCTCATACCACTATCAAAAATACTATTATGAGATTGTAGAATCTACCAACCATACCAGTTGGGAACGACTTTTACGTAGACAACCAACTACATAAGTATTATTATCATTTTAACGTAGCATTTTCCTACTTCACTATGTGTCTACAATCAGATTTACTTAACGCCATTATTATTATTATGAAGCATCGATTTACAGACAACCAAAACTTTTAAATCACCTGACTGGTCATTTTAAAAAGATTTCAGTAACTAAGATAAATACGTATTCCAGGTATTGGTATCCCCAGAATGGCTAATAAATATTGGTCCATGTCGTCTTTTGTTCAAAATACAAGCTCTATAGTGAGTCAGGAAAACACGGCCTTATTCAACAGCTGAATTAAAACGGTATGATCCAAGTCGGTAACAGTAGCACACTAGGTCATAATGACACGAAGTTAACGTACAACACCAACGTGAAGGCTTTTATTCGGGAAAACTCAGTTTATATCTAAGCTCTCAACGCTCTCTTTATACTAAAAGGCAACATGTGAGTCTGTGCCAATCACTCAGTTGAATGTGAACGCATACTCATTCTTACCAGCCTTGGGCCACAGGTTACTGAATAACTTGACCTTTCAAAAACGATGATTTTAGTTGCCTCCATGAAAACAACTACTAGTGGAAAATCAGTCGTAATTCTCATGAAACTCACTTTGGATAAAATCGAGCGTTGCAACTGTGGATGCAGTCAAGAATATGCAGCACCTTTGGAAAGGCTTAGAACACTTCAAACATTCAAACAACACATAAATTCCAAGAACATATCAATACACATGAAGTGCACGCCATATTTTACAAGCCTCAAAATGAACTCGATTTATTTTCCAGGTCATCGGTGACGATAACGAATATGGACCTCAGGCCGCCGACTTCCAAACTGACCCTTAAAATTAACCAGAAGCAGAGGCACTCACAAATCGCACCCAAATAAGTGAAAAATGTCCGTAGTAATCGTTGTCTTCTCTGGAATAAGTTCGATACACTATTATTCAAACCCGATATCGCTGACAGCTACTGGATCACATGAAAACAAATTTGAAGACTTCAGAGGGTAGTTCAAACAACAACAACAAGAGATAAATGGACCACCTCAAAGAATATAGATATCAATTGGACTACTACGGATCATGATCGTGGAAACCATTCTGTTGGTAGTTTTTAATATCTATTAACACCAGCTTTACTCCCCCAAACTGTCTTTTAACTACTGATATGATCAGTGACTACTCGTTAGTAGTTTGTTTTAGATCACCAACTTGGGTGATCACCCTTTATTTTTGCGGAGTCCCAAGCTGACGGACATGGGAAAGAAATGGGGACAAAGGGGGAAATCATGGGGGGAAATGGGGACAAACCCCAATAGTGCGGAAAATGCTGGTATTTTGTTGCATTTCCCACACTTTTCCCTCACTTACTTACCACTAGTTTTCCTCATTTTACCCCATTTTTGTCAATTTGCGTACTGCTTATTCTAATTTGCAGTGCCTCTGGTAGACTGTGAAAGTATTTAGGATGGCGCAGCATCATACAAAACTACATACCTTATTAGTTTTTCGAAGAGAAGATCGTAGCCTCATAATCTCAATGAGATTAAACAACCCAAAAAGTACTAGTATATCTTTCCGTGATGAATTTAAACGAAGCGCTTTTTTAAGTAGTGTTCGTTAAGTGGTCCAAATGGTTGTTGACGGGAGAGAGGAATATTTCGCCTTACTGGCTCCCACATTTAGAATCGGTGGGTCATTATTTCTTGCAGCTGTTAACCCGTGTACAAGTAACCAGAGATCAAGGCGTGATGGTTAAAATGTGAAAATTCAGTTAGTTCGGAACAGAAACGCCGGAAATGTCAGTCTTACCTTCACAAGTATTACTTATGATGGCTACCAAGCTTGTTATCCATGAATCTGCTGGTGACACGAGACCGTCGTTTACTCACTACTATTCAGGAACTCTGTTGGTTTTTGTAAGGTTGCCCTTCTTCTAAAAGAGGTGAGTGCCATTCCACTTAGCTTGAGATTTTGGTGAATTTTCAGGAAAGGTTCTCCAGGTAGTTCCTGCACATGCGAAAATGCCGAATTTCGTCTTTATGGGTGTCTCTGTCTTTTGCCATAGCTGTCAAATTGTCGCGTTGTCCGATTGCCAGTACCCTATATTTCTAACAGGCCAGCGCTCGCTTTGAAAACAGCAAGTGAAAGTTTCCACTCTTTTGACATTTTTCGCTTTTGTTGTGTAATCTGCACCAAAGGCTTTCTTATTAGCCCTGACTTGAGGTAAAGGAATCAGTGTTTGAAATTTCGTCATTTTGAGGTTTAAGGCTGGTCTTTGTGTTGTCACAACTTAAGTCTTTGTGTCCAACTTTTGGCCGAATACTTCAGTTAGAGCACGGTACTTGTGAAAACTGAATCGCGAATAACAGGGCTAACGACAATCATGTTTACGTTTGACCCAGCTGTAAATTCCAAGTAGATGAAGGTATGCAATGTGATGCACGTGGATGTTGGTTCCAAAACGTTCAGACCGGATCGACACCAACCGTGTACTAGTGCCGCAGCAAACCAGCTTCTCCCTGGTTGCATGATTTCTGCTGCAAACCGTTTTCAGCTCTAATCCGGGAAGCTGTCGAAATGTTACTGGTCAAAAAACAACCATGTGAAACTTATAGCTCTTATTCTAATGCAGCATCAGATGATGACAGCACAAGTGTTATTGTTATTATATCTGACAGGATCTAAAAATGGACTATTAGATAACATCGATCCAATTGGCGAGATCGTATAGTTCCGATGCGTACTCAACGCAAGATTAAACCAAGGGCAGCTGGAACACCAACCACAACGCTTAGGCATTCACCGAAAGGCAACGTCTCTGCGAACGGCGTTGACTCTATAAAGGTGGTCAAAGAATCTGCATGGATTCCTCCGAGAAAGAACCTAAACAAACCTCATTGCTGAAGCTACTAAGATCATGAAACCTACAGAGGTTTAGAAGGCCATCAACACGCCACTGAAGGATTCCGCATCAATGCCCACTATGTTCTTCTAGAGTGTCAAGGAGTTTTTGGACAAAGACCCTTTAATGCATCATGGTCATAACCTGGAACTAGTCCAGTCGGCCATGGGGCATATTCTACCCGAAATGTCTTACGGCGTACACATTTTCAAGGTAGTCGGGCTGGGCATGAAAAAGGATGAAAAATCTGATGAGAGGATTTTAAAGGTTATTTTTGCTCACAGAGAAGAAGTAGGTGTACTCTTGAGTAGCGCATACAAACTACTAAATTCGAATGCCTGCACCCAGTCTGACTGGCCTCTCGAGGACCAAACAAAGAGAAAAGAGGCCGTCGAAAAACTTAAGGCTTGACAAATTAACGGCTGGAGTCACAGCAAGGCTTCTGTACTAATAGTGTTATTTACCGTGGTCCATCCTACCTTGCGAATGACTCCGTGATAACCCATGTAGGTCACTGGAGTAGAAGCAACAGATGCTCCACATACGCAAACCGGACGGCGCTAACAGCTCAAGCACCGGGCAGTTCTTTCGGAAATGGCTTACTTTTAACAGTACCGGAATCTGCTTTGGTTCAAAACGTAACTCATGCAACCGAATGCGATTCTGAACACAAGTAACCGTTATTAGATTTAGTTTTAGTTCGCTAATATGGAGACATTTTGGATCTATGACACCTCTCTCCATTAACCAACGGCTAACATGTAGTCCTAACCTTCGATTCCCCAACTTATGAGTTTGGTATGACACTGCTTCCCCTGGACCTAGTGCTTGGCGCGCGGACATTTCAAGTATAAGGGATTGCGCCGTCGATAAGTATTAGGCCATCGACAAGGACGCATCAGTGGAGAACGCATGGGCAGGTCTAAGACTCTGTTGGAAGAGGTAGCGCCGCTATTTATTCTATGGTCAACTCCGCTAAGATGCTCACACAGACCTCCGTGGTTTGCTAGACTCACAGAAACTGTTGAGATGGAAATAACACCTATGGGACTTATTTACAGAAACTGAACTAGAAACATTTAGAGGTGGGTACTGTGAAGTCCGTACTCGCTGCAAAACTTTAATTGCGCAGTCTCAAATGTCCTAAGAAAAAAACAGCTCGTACGGGGTTACCAAAGTTGTCTCAGAAGTCTGTTTGGATTCGTCAGAAGAAAGACTAGAAGAAAGCGCGAAATTCCCTCTCTGACGACTGTTGAGAAGTCCGGTTGTCTGGCAGAATTCAAACTATCCAGCGGACTACTTTGGTGAAATCTACTCTGTAGACCATAACGATAGGGTACTCAGTAGGCAAGCTCTCCTCTTTCGTGTTTGGTGCTTCACTGCAAGCCAAAATCAGAGGTTTTCTGTAGGAAAGAAGACAGAGTGAGAGTAAATGGAATACTGTCCAGGCGGAAACCTGTGGTGGGTAGAGTTCTTCAAAAAGGAATCCTAGGTCCACCACTTTTCTTTTTGTATATCAACGAATTCGCGGAAGTGCTCAACTCTACGTACTGCTATTTGCCTATGATGCAAAGATTAGGGGAGCCATACGCAGCGATACGGGTAAGTATGCACTTCAAGTGGATTTAGATGAACTAGAAGGTTGATCTAAACGTTGGGGCCTGGAAATCAACCCTAACAAAGGCGCAATAATGCACGTTGGTTATAGCAATCGTTTCCAGTATTCCGTCCACGGTGTACCACTACTCCCACTCTTAAACTGAAAGACTATAGTGTCATCACAATTCATGATTTGATAACCCCGCAAACTGTACTGCAGCTGGAGCAAAGGGCTTCCGCATATTACGGCCCATCCGCAGAGCTTTCGAAAGTTTTCATCAGGACATGTTCAGAATACTCGATTCTACTTGTGTCAGGCTTCACTTGGAATACTGCATTGGGATGCCAAGCCCATACTCAAAAAGGACGATGACGTACTAGAACGTGCCCAAAAGGTTGGTACTAAAATTGTGAAGGGTCTTTTGAATCTCTCCTGTGAGGAACGATTACATTGGTTAAATTTAGTCCCGCTGTCTTATAGCAGAAAATGGGGTGGTCTCATAATGGGATTTCGTATCATAAATAACAAATTCAGTATTCACACGTCCTATTTACCCCCCTTTCTAGGACTGACCATCTCCGAGGGCATCACAAAGAAATTCGAAAACTGCGACCAAATCAACTTGGGGTGAATCTGTGTTTCTCCTGTCTTGTAGTCAACGCCTGGAACTCCTTACTACAGCAAGTCCTATCAGCACCTTCTGTCAACTCGTTCAAGGAGAGACTAGCTCTTCACAGAACTATCTTCTGTGCGGACTAAAGCAGGCCAACTGGCCTGCTATCCTTATCTCTGCAAACTGAAACGGAAAAGTGTACACTGTGCATTTTTGCCAAAGTTACAAAGTGCTTAGTCTTAGTGCCTAATCTGCCTGATACAGTACGTCGGCACGCAGGTACTGCCGTGATTATGCCGACAAATAATATCTTTCTTGTAGCAGTGCCTTCTTCAGCTTGTCATAACCTTTGGGCTGTCACATGTGTTAACACTACCATTTTAATAGATTTCAAACCGTCATCAGCACATTTTGGCATCCTTTGAAGAAAATTTTCGGTACCGATAAATACATCCATCGTGTTAATAGTTCCCATCACGCGACACTACATATTTTCTAGCCCTCTGTATCAGGTGATCTTTCATTTGAACGTTACCACGCATCAAATACCCTTCTCGAATGATGCCGCCCATTCCAATGCGAAGGATGCCTAAAGCCTACGCATGAATACTACCGTTTGGACTATTAACTGTTTCAGAGTCCATTTTCATCCACTGCAACAAGTATTCCCTGCGGAATCAATCTATGTTATCATCAAAAGTAACATGGTGGCCTGGAAATCCATTGATTTAGACACTCACCTTGGTTATACAACTGTGAATGCTTTACTGACACTTCACATCGTATACATGGATCCGTAGTGGTTAGTAAGACCACAAACTGAGGAACTTTCTGATGAATGGATGGCTACATCACTAAATAACCAGCTGTGCAAATGGACTGAAAATGTCAGGTGACTACGGCTCAAACCTCGAACATTGCGCACTTTTGTTCCTATTAGCGGGACCCACCTGTGTTATGGGAGATGAAAATCCACGCCCGTCTCATGAACTGCAGTACGTTTTGATAAGATAACGCATATCACCGGTTTGATATGTGAATTACATAATACTAAATACTATCTCGTAAACTTTCAGGAATTATTAATTTGACGACACTTGTAAACCGCTCTATCATGTCAAATCCATTACATGAGGGCAAAATCATTATTATCTGAACTTTAACATTCCGTGTACGCTGAAAAGTGCTATTTTCTTGTTCGTTCCATAACTAGCAAGATTTTTTGGTGTTTTTAATAGAGTTTAATGACACCTTCTGTGCCACTCAGGATTCGTAGAATGTTGTAGATTTTTCGACATATATCAATGTGATGATGACTACAAACCGGCTTCGCTCATGTTAAACCACAAATGTGGGGATAAGACATTTATCTATTTGTTTATCTGTCTCAGACTCGAATTTACAGGACCACATAT